AAGTTTTTCAAATACCTTTTTCTAAGTTATTCAGTAATTAAGAAGCAATTAGAGTAATTCTTGTACAGAATATGTTTAAAAGCTTGATACATCCAGGGCCTTAATTAGTCTTTATTTGTTCTTCGGAGCGCGTAAACATATTCGGGGTTACAATTATTTGTACCATCTTGGATATACTGTTACTGTTTTGTTATTGTTATTATTTGTTGGTGGCTGTTGTTGTGATTTGCTTTTGGCAATTATTGTTATTTTCTGTTGTTGGCTATTGTTATATTTGACGCCGAATTTTTATCGCAAAATGGGGGAAATTGTTTAATGGAAACGTGGAAAAGCTCTGAAACTTTCAAAGAAGCAGATACTAACAAATATTATTATTATTATTAATTATCATCTTAATCAGGATAACAATGATTCTGTATCAAGTGTAATTAGGAAAGTGTCAGAAATGAATGGTGTTTGCGAAAATACTCCGTTTCGCATACGACAGGAATATTCATCACCTGCTGGATTACAATCTCCAAAGAGCAGGCCCAAGAAGCGAAAGGTTGGTAATTCTCGTGACAACAAGTACGATGAAGGTGTCAGAGGCCAAATTCGTAGAATAGTTCATCAATTTTTTCGTGACAACATACCACCAACAATAAACACCATATTAGCTGTTGTAAATGTCGAAGAAACTTTGCCCAACTTTTCACGGGCCACGCTACATCGCTTGCTGAGTGATATGGATTTTGTGTTTATAAAACGTGGCAGAAATTCAATTTTGATTGAAAAACCAGAAGTCATCTCGTGGCGTCATCGTTATTTACGCGCAATTCCGTGCAGAAGGGTACAACATAGTGTATTTAGATGAATCATGGGTAAATATCGGGCACAGTGTGAAAAAAGAATGGGTTGATCAAACAATTATATCTCATCGCGATGCTTTTGTTCGTGGTCTGACAACAGGATTAAAAGCTCCTACAGCTCGTGGTGCACGGTTCGTTTTATTGCACGCAGGATCTACCAGTGGATTTGTTGATGGAGCAGAGCTCACGTTTTTGGCAAAGAAAAATACTCAGGACTACCACGACGAAATTGATGGACCGACCTTCGAAGATTGGTTCAAAAATAACTTAATGCTAAATTTGCCAGAAAAAACTGTTGTGGTAATGGACAATGCCTCCTATAATAGCAGAAAGTCAGAACAAATTCCCAACAGTTCAACACTAAAAAACGGTATTCAAGAATGGCTTCAAAGGACCTAGTTTTTGAAGAAGACTACCTAAAATTCGAGTTACTTGACATAGTCAAGGCCTTGAAAGCAAAATATGACAGGTACATAATAGAAGATATTGCAAAAAAGCACAATGTGAAGATTCTGCGGCTCCCACCCTATCACTGTAAACTCAATTTCATCTAAATGGTTTGGAGTGAAGTGAAACGGTATATAGCTGGACGCAACGCGAATTTTAAAGAAGATGAAATTCGAAATTTAATCACAGCAGCGTACCAAGTCATTACGCCAGAGAAATGGAAAAACTACATAAAACCACGTAAACCACGTAAAATAGATAGATAAACCACGTAATAGCAACAGAAAAAAAATGTGGAAATTGACAATTTGTTGGATGATATCGAACCAATTATTATAAATATAAATAACGGAGATAGTGATAACAGTGACGATAATAATGATAATGATGATAGTTAAACCGAAACTAAATGTGACAGCGATTGACAGAAAAAGGAACTAAATATAATGGTGTACAATTACGATTACTTACACACGAAGTTAAATACAATGACTTCTTTTATTTTTAACTTATTTATTAGTTTTATTTTCGGATATTTCTACGTTTTGTTACTGCCAACATATAGAGCGCGGTTTTTAAAAGTCCTTCCCCCTTAACTTTTGAACGGAACAATACATAAATAAAATATTTCTTTATATTTTAGTTTTATTTTATTCGATTTTATTTAAATCTATAAAGAAATGGTTTGTATCGCTAGCACATACTATAGAATTAAAAACACAAACTGCTTATGTGACATAAATAATGGGCATTTCTTAATTTCTATTTTATTTTAATTTAACCCAAGTATGTTTTAGCAAATATTATTTATGTTTGAGAACCACTGACATAAGGAAGCCAGGCAGGGTCGATAGTGGGCATTAGTACTTAAGCTACCCTCAACACAAAAGATGGTTTAGGCTAAGTAGTAAGAAGTGACGTTTATTTTAATATAAGTTTGCAAAGAAGTATGGCATCGATGTTGTGCATTTACCCTGTACAGACTAGTCACTTTGAGACAATCTATAGATAGAGTCTTGTTTATCTATCTATCTATCTATATATATATATATATATATATATATATATATATATATATATATGAGTAAGAAAAAAGAAATTTTAATATAATTTTGAAAAAGTTTCTTAACACAAAAACAATTGAATTTATAAATAAGTTAGAATAGCGCAGTCAGAATAGCGATCAATTACAAATGCTTTTTTTTAGTAACAAAAAAGAAGAAAATTTATTCACCATTGATAGATGCCTGAAAAAATGTAACAAATATATGGAAAATTAAATCAAAATGTGATATTTTACAGGCTTCATATATAAACTACAAAGAAATAATATAATTATAAATTTTACTTACATTTTGAATTTCTGATCTTTTGTTTAAATTATTATCGCTTTTGCTAATACAAACCATTTCCAAAAAAAGTCTTTTTAAATTTATTACTGTCATATATATACAGTGCTTTTCAGATAAAACTATCCACCTTAAATAACTTTTGAACCTCTAGTTTTTTGGAAAAACGCAAAAACACGTCAATTAATATTGGAAGGGGGAGACGTTATATCATATTAAAGGTTGCTTGGAAATGCACTCTTTCACCCCCGGTATCAACCCTTTATTTTTTTAAATTATTTCCCCCTTTTTTTATTTTATATTTGGATTCTCCTTTTTGTGTTGATTTCAAAAATGTATAATACCTTTGGCTTGAAGTGATTAGTTTATGAGATAGACAATTTTAACAAGGATAGTATCTCTCTCACCTTAAATGACTGTAACAAAATAGGTTGTAGCATAATTTAAAATTTTTAATTATTTAACCTTACTATTTGTAGTACCTTCAAAAACCAAGAAATAAAAAAATTCACTTTTTATTAAAGTTTTATCAAAGGTTAAGAATAACCTTTCCGAAGATTTGGTTGTATTTCAACATGATGGAGCTTCTCCACACTTTGCTTTACCTGTGCGATAATTTTTAAACGAGACGATTCTTGGTCATTGGATAGGGTAATGACGATAGATGATCGATTAACCACCTAGGTCACCGGATTGAACACCCCTAGACTTCTTCTTTAAAGGGTATTTAAAAACAAAAATTTATGCTACTCAACCAGAATCTCTAGATGATATACGACAAAGAATAGAGGATGAATGTCGACACTTAAATGCAGACGTTGTTAAGCAATGTCAAAGAAGAATTTCAAAATAGATTATACTATTGTATGGAAGTGAAGGGCAGTAATTTTGAACAATTATTGTAAAAATTTTTAGTAGTGAAATGTTCATTCTAAATGTATGTAATAAAATTGTTAAAAAATAATTTTTTTTCAATTCAATTTTCTTGCTTTTGTATTTATTTTTCTCATAAACTAATCACTTCAAGCATCATGTATTATACATTTCTGAAGTCAGTACAAAGAGGAGAATCCAAATATCGAATAAAAAAAGGGGGAAGTAATTTAAAAAAAATTAAGGGATGATACGAGGGGTGAAAGGGTGCATTTCCCAGCAACCTTAAATATGATATAATATCTCCCCCTTCAAATATTAATTGACATGTTTTTGCGTTTTTCCTAAAATTTAGAAGTTCAAAAGTTATTTAAGGTGGATAGTTTTATCTGAAAAGCACTGTATATATATATATATATATATATATATATATATATATATATATATATATATAGATATATTTATGAATGTATTTTATAATTATTAAAAGAATCTGACAACCTAAGTACTAGATGCATTTTTTTCATTTTGGAATCCGATACTACTATTATTGAATCAATAGCACCAATATATCTTGAAAAAAAATTAATTAGTCCATTTTATATTTATCAAGATTATGAAAATATGTATAGACCTACTTTTTAACAAATATTTCTAATATTTTCTCAGAATATAGAACACTGTCGATTTAATTAATCTTAACCTATTAAAAAAGTCTTTATCATTACAAAAATTAAAATGTTCAATTCTGCATCAAATATTATATTCTGGCACTAAGTTAAACATCATACTGATCATACTCTCCGATTTCATTAAATCTTTTAATATCCATGTCTCTAACCTACACTAAACAATATTTAGGTTATATTTTTGATTTCGCGATAACCTACAACATTATAACTAACTACAATAAACACAATTTATTTTTCAGAACTTTTTATTCAGTACTTTATTTGGCAAATAAGTATTTTATATGTCAGATAATTTGAATTTATTTTATCTGTCAGTTTATCTGTTCAGATTTCTTTCGTAGGTGACGCTAGAATTTTAAATCTAAACCAACAAAAATTAATTCAACTATATTAATATTTAATTAATAGTTTTTGTATTATTAATTAAACGTATCGTTTCAAAAACATAATATGATTGACTCATAGGTTGAAATGTCAGTAGTTCAGATGCCGTTAGGATTTTAAATCTAAACTAACATAAAGCATTAAATTATCTTGTACTTATTAAATTATACCTTAAAAATATTATTAAAATTAATTATTAATTATATTAATACAGTATTATTAATTAAACGTATCGTTTCAAGAACAAAATTGATTGAAATGTCAAATGGTGGTAGTTCAGATTTCTTTCCTAGATGGCGTCGTTAGTTTACTGGACAAATGATGTGACTTGTCATCATAGCCTAGATAGACTGTTTTATCCTATGTAATTTGTTTTCCGTGGAGTTTATTTTTCGTTTTTGTTTCAGTGACCAATCTATATGTTTTGGAGAATGCCTAACTCCAAAACTTTGTCTCTCTCTACATGCCTTCACTGCAATAAAGGATGCCAGTATAACTACTTTCGATAATCTGTTTCTAAACAACGATACATTACTACCGACGATTACATATCGATGCACTTATTGTAATGTATCATACAACAATTCAAAAGATCTGTGGAACCATTTCAAAGGAGCTCATGTCATGGAACAACCAGTATTATGTATCAAATGTAAATTACAGATTAAGATTGACAAGCTGACGGATAACCGTTGGCACCACCAATGCAGTAAAAAAGTAGATACATCAAAAGACAGCACTTCTTCGTCAGCAAAAGCTTAGAGAAAACTTTGAATTTTTTGTGATTACCTACAATTGTTGTTAAAGATATTGAATAATTACAACAAACTTATCTTTTTTTATGTTTTTTGTTTTCTTTCTTATCCCTTCCTACTATCATACATATCCCAAAATAAACGGCCGTCGTTGAGACAGTTTTTGAGGAATCTTGGTATGGAAGCTTGCTTCAATTTCTTCTGATCCATAATTTTTATACAATTGACCGAATCGCACATGTGACAACGTGTGACACTTATCTAGGTAAACCAGTGTAGCAAAAGAACCTAGAAATCAAAAGAAAGTTTGAAGGAAAAACATTGAGAGATGATGTTTACAGACTCATTTAAAAATGTGGATAAAAGAAAGAATGCCCAGAGAGTTAGAGAATTGGAAAATAGTGGTGATATACAAGAAATAAGATCAGAGAGAGTGTAACAATTATAGAGATATAACTTAATACGGCCTATCAAGTGCTATCAGCTAAAAAAGACTTCAGAGAAATATTGAGTTAAGTAGGGGAGAGTTGCCCAAAATGGGGACCCCATCACATTTTGTGACATAAAATGAAAATTTGTAATAAATAAAATATTTTACACAATTATGTAGTTAAAGTGTGTTTTCAGGTACCAGAAAACATAATGAGTATTTCACAAAAATAACGTAAGGACAGAAATAGACATTTTTGAAAATGTACAAATACCTCGTTTTTCAAGAAAGGGTGGGTAAAATGGGGTACATGGAAATATTAGGTTATTTTTTAATTAAACATGTAATGAAGTATTAAACATTATTATACAGTATGAACAGTATTAAAAAATAAAAATCAAACTATAAACAAAAATCGCATATAAAAGTGTCATCATCTTCACAGCTTGAACAAGCTCCATAGCCACCACTATTGCAGCACCGAATCCTAATCGAAAGAGTTTTTGTACATGTCTTTGCAAAAAAATGCAACCTTCTTCGTCTTCATTAGAGGACGTATCAGAATCTTCAACCTGACACTTTTTATTTTTACGTTTATTTCGGATAAAAAAACCATTGTTTTGTTTCATTTTCTTGGGCAGTAGCAGGACTGGTTCTCTAGTCTTTCTTTTCTTTAATAGATTATCACTGGAGGTCGCAGATTTTTTATTTTTGTTGAAAAGGTCTTTTTTGTGTTTACCTTCTTGTTTCTCTTGGCGCTCCTCTTCTTCGGCCTCTAGTTCAGCCTTGCATGGTGACGATATTAATATGACAATTTTACCTTTCCTTTTGTTACTATTCCACCTGTTGAAGTAGAGGACTCAGGAGAAGTTTCTTTATAAGGCTCAGGAGAAGCGTCGTTAGAGGGCACAGTTCCACTTGAAAATGTAGAATGTTCTGTTCTATTGTTTGTGGTGTTGGTAGTAGTGGCGCATATCTGCTGCTCAGAATTGTGGTTTGGTTGTTATGTGGTATCTGACGGGGCAAACAGGTAATCAGAGAATACATCTCTATTGAAAGGATATATTCCTGTTTGTTCAAATCCCTTCACTGCGGTTTGAACATTAGCTGCTGTTGAAAAAGCAGCATTGACTAGTTGTCCAATTTGATAAATTGTAACATCCCTGCCAGGGTGATTAAGCAACCATTTTTTAACCTCTTGTGTATAAAATGTACTAAGTGGTGCCATAAAATGAGACATCGAGCGGTTGTAATCGATGTGTGGTGGAAAACATAATATAACGTTATTTTCCCGAGCAAGATAAAGGAGTTCTGAACTTTTGGTATGGGAAGTGTTACCATCAAGAATAAGCAGCACTGGTTCTTGAGGTCCGGGACAAAATTTTTAAACCATACAATAAAGTTTTCTTTGGGAATCCAACCAGCCTCATAATACACTTCAGATGACCCTGTGCACCATCCATTAAGAGCGGATTTGTTTTCTTACGGGGAAATACAAACATCCCTGGCATAAAATTCCTTGCAGCATTCATACAGGTTTCTAAGGTCACCAGTACACCTCGTTCTGCTGAGGACAAACAACCCACTTGCTTTTTATCACGCAGAGCAAGGATTCTGGAAGGCTTGTTAGGTACAGTTATAATGCCGGTCTCATCTACGTTGTAGATATCATTGGGTGATAAATTGTGTTGCATATATAAAGATTCAAGCAAATCAAAATATTTCTTTACTGCTGCTCGATTAAAACCTTTTGCTCTTGCCAGTGAAGTTTTTTCAGAATTATGTAATGCTAATTGTAGGTGCCGCCTTAGAAAGCCATAAAGTCAATGTTTACCAGCTATTTTCTTATCTTCATTAAACACGTGTGGAATGTGATTTTTAACGGCTAAATTGAAAGCTAGTTTTCTTAAATCTGTTAAGCTAAGGCCAAACAACCTTTCTTCTAAATATGTAATATAATCCACAAGTTCATTTTCTTGCGCTTCGGGAAACACAGTAATAAATCTATTCAATCTTTTTTCTGCAGCTTCTTTCGAACTCAATCCTTTTTCTCGAGCTTCTTTTACTTTGCGCTCCAAAGTAGTATGTGGAATAGCGTACAGCTTCGATGCTTTTCTGTATCCCATGTTGCCTTCTAACACTTCTTGAATGGCGTCCCGCATACTTTTCTTGGACCAACTCTGTTTGTCGCTTTTTCTTGTATAACGATCCATGTTGAAATCTTAGAAAACATAATTATTTAGATAATTCAATGCATAAATGCTTACCCTAGTAATTTTTGTATAGACTGCAGACTTTTTTCAATAATAAATAATTTGTCAAAAGCAGTTCTACCTAGGTACCTAGTAAAATTACTTAATCGGCATTAAAATATTTCATAGGTTAAAATGGCGACGTCCCCGTTTTGAGCTACCCTTACCGTCACCATTTGACTCGTTTATGACTTAATTAAAAAAATATGGCGTATCGAAGCTAAAATGCTAAGATTTTTAAATGAGTATTATGTGAAAATGTAGCTTAAAGACAGCGAAAACAAAGGTCTATTTACCGAAATTGATTATTTCAATGTACCTTGCTAGCACCAACCAACAATGCAGGTTGAAATGGTAAACAAATCACAAAAAATCTTGGATCGACTGTATACAAAACAAACATAAGCTCACACCTCGACTACTTACTGCCAACTGGTTAGTAGGCAACTAGAAGAACACCCCCGCGTCGTTCGGCGGCCAATTCCCCACTCTATTACTGAAATTTTGAATGTCCTCATATTACACTGCGTCCCCGTTTTAGGCGACTCTCCTCTAATTAGTGCGGATTTTTTAAACAATAGAGAGTGGAAAAACATGTGATTACAAAATGAATGTACGGTTGTTATTTGTATACTTTCAGCAAGCATTTGATTCGATTAACAGAAACGCTCTGTTAATGTAATTAAAGAAATGTGTGTAACAGTCAAACCAGTCTAGTTATCAGAGATTTGAGTCCTAAAAACTAGACGAACAAGCTAAATTTTGCTGGAAATTTAGATTTTGGGATACTAAAAAGTTTGCCATTCCTACCCCCCTCATAGGGGGGGGGGTCGGAAAAAATTGATTTACAAAGAATTTATACGCCGTAAAAAAATTGTTTCAAATAAAAAATGTAGCTGAAATAATTTTAAACACAAATGTTTATTAACACTTTTTATGTATAATGAAACGTTCTCTCAGAAACAACGCTTGAAGAGACCGGCGATTTTGAGTTACGCGTGCGAAATTGATTGTGAATAAAATTTGCATTAGGAACTACCAGTGCGGTTTCCGACCTAATAAATCAACAACGGATCAAATCTTCACAGTCCGGTATATTCTTGAGAAAACGCTTGAGTTCGGAGAGTCGACACCCACCACATATTCGTGGATTTCAAAGCCGCATACGACTCAGTCAACAGACAAACACTTCTACAGGCTATAGTGGAATTTCAAATGCCGCTTCATCTTGTTCAACTAACGGAACTTTTCGAATACCCTTCCATTGTAAAAATGGACTGAGACAGGGAGACGGACTGTCGTGTCTCTTATTTAACCTTGCACTAGAAAAAGTAATTCGGGAGTGCGATATTAATACGAATGGCACCATCTTTAATAAATCTGTACAAGAATGACAGATTGTGAATGCCACCTTCGCTGTTTACAAAAAATACCGCAAGCTAGAAGAAAGCAAATTTTTGAAGGATTCTACAGTATGAATTGGAACATAAAGCAATTATTCCTCGGTGGTCAGATACAAGTTTAACGCGTTTCCAGGAAATACACAAAAAAAGGAAAATGGTCGTAGAGAAAAAACCCGAAAGATAGAGAGTCGTAGAGAAAAAATACATTCTTCAAGATGATATGCGGCGAAAATAAAGTAGTTTGTAAAAAGTTTTTTAGGAACTCTAGTAGCCTGCGATGGCACTTTAATCAATGCATTGAAGAGAACGCAAGAAACCGGTACTCCTGTGCTTGATCGACGAGGAAAACATGTACCTCTCAATAAGAGCAGTTTAGAGGATGAACAAAGAGTATGTACTTTTATTGAGATATTTCCATTCATTTCCAGTCATTATTGTCAAAGGGATAGTAATTGAACGTATCTAAATCCCGAACTCAATATGAAACTCATGTATAAGCAGTATATGTTTCGATACATATTCAATAGTAAATTTAACTTACATTTTCATCAACCACACAAAGACACGTGTCAAACCTGTGACGAATTTAAGGCATAAACTAGTACTATTGTCACAGAAAATACTAATGCTAAAATTCAATATGAACTTCATTTGCGGCGAGCCGATGCAGTAAGAGATATGGAAAAAAAGATGCAGATGAAGCTAGATCTAGCAATGGAACAAAACAAGTTATGGTTTTTGACCTTCAAACAACTTTACCTACACCAATGTTATCAATTGGTGTAGTATATTACAAGCGACAACTCTGGGTGTACAATCTCGGTATCCATGATGAGGTAAATAATGTTGGCCACATGCATGTTTGGGGCGAACACACAGCTTCCAGAGGAGCCCAAGAAGTAGCGTCCTGTCTTATTTATCACATTCAGAACCGCTTACCATTAAAATTCGGAAATTGAAAAAATTAATTTAAAATTTTTTATACCTGGCCATAGCTTTTCTAGCTGCGATCAACATTTTGGTGTAATAGAAAGAGAGAAAAAGTATCATCCTCAAATTTTTTATTCAAATGATTGGATGAATGTAATTAAAACGGCTAAAAAGAAAACACCAAAATTTGTTGTGCATCAGATGACAACAGATCACTTTTATACCTGGCCATAGCTTTTCTAGCTGCGATCAACATTTTGGTGTAATAGAAAGAGAGAAAAAGTATCATCCTCAAATTTTTTATCCAAATGATTGGATGAATGTAATTAAAACGGCTAAAAAGAAAACACCAAAATTTGTTGTGCATCAGATGACAACAGATCACTTTTTTACTACAAGAAGTTTGGAAGAGTCCATAATTTACCGAAAAATATTTGTGGACAAGGAAAAAGTAGAATGGCTCAAAATCAGATGGATACAACTACGCAAAAAGGAGCCCAAAACGATGTAGTATAAATACAATTGTGTCGAAAATGATGATCTCTTTAGTAAATTTGATTTAACAAAAAGAGTTGGTCGTGGTACACCCGTAATTACTGATTTGCCTGTTGAACTACCATTGTTGTATCCCCATGGACAACTTATTACATAGGAAAAAAAAAAAGATTTAATCGATCTTCTCGATCTCCAGAACATCACAATTTTTATATATCGCTTCAATCAGGGATCATTGAAGAACCAACTGGAGATTCAATTGAGTATGATGTTGAAAATTATTAATAAAACAATTTATCGACCTACTTTATCGTTGCCTAGCCAACAAGTGTATTACTTATTTGAATGTTAGTGTTAGCGCCAAAGTTGCCTACAAGTTTTTATCAAAATTATAATTCACGTGTTCATATTTAATTTTTCTTTGTATAACCTTTAGTTTAAGTAAAATCTTGTCTATTTACAAAATATATTAAAATGTTTCTACATCGAGTGCTTTTTTTATTATCGCCAATTTACTTTACATCAACTTTGTGACTTTTTTTTTATTGGCATAGACTAGGTGTCAATCAGCCAGTTACAACATGACTACTACCTTAAACATAAGAATTTTATTAAAGTTCTGACTAACGGAAATGCGGCTTAGGCAAGCATGGAACTGAGCCACTCATAGCTAGATAAGCCAGTGTTAACAAACGGGTCAGAAACGTGGTCACTTACACAGAACGATCAAGAATTGCTTAAACGTTTCGAGAAAAAAATTCTAAGGAAAATATATGGCCGAGTCCAAGAACAGGGTTTGTAGCGTAGGCGCTACAACTTTGAATTATACAGAAGTTTTGGGGAACCTGACGTTGTAAAATGTATTAAATTAGCACGCCTTCGATGGATAGGACAGATGTAATTAGGCGAGATGAAGGTGCAACGATCAGAAAAATTTTCAACTGAAGAGGACCAGTAGGAAGACGAGCCAGAGGAAGACCAAAACTTAGATATCAAGATAACATAGAGGATGCTCTACAATCCATCGGAGTTAAAGCATGGAGAAGAGTTGCCAGATACAGGGGCGAATGGAAGATTGTTGTGAAGAAGGCTTTGGCTCATAACGAGCTGCAATGCCACTGATGATGATGAAGTCAGTTTTATAAAGGTGTTAAATAAATATAGGTTGCGCGAAAGTTTAAATTCAGCGTTTTTTATACATATTTCAAATGTCTCGGATTTGTTGCCAAAACTTAAAATCGAAATTGCATGTTACACCGTAGTGATAAATTTTATTGATCTCATGAAAATCGCAAAAAAGGCAAAAATCGCACAATCTTTTTTTTATTTTAACATTTTGAATTTGCGGCAAAAATTTTTATATGAATTATGAAAGCTGGTGTACTCTTCGTATTTAAAACTCATTTTGATTTTTGCTCATAGGACACTCTGATCAAAATATATCGAATTTTTACCGTCGAGTTGATACAGCTTTTATTTAAACAATTAATTTAGCGTGCATAACTGACATTTAAAATCGCCAATCGCTTCTACCATTGTTTCTGAGAGAAGTTAATCATCACATTTTTTTCTATGAAATACAGGTTTTTGGTAAATCGATGTTTTCCATTTTTCTCGCCTTACGAAGTGGGGGATGATTTATGGGAAACCTAGGGGTAAGAGTGGTAAAACTTTTGTGGGGTCCCATAATTTACATTCTCACCAAAATTCAGCTTGTTTGTATGGTTTTTAGAGGTTCAATGGCATTTTAGTCTCTTCCGACTGTAGTAAATTAAAAAGAATTATAGAAAAGAATTATATGCCTTACATTAAAGTCAACAATGATGAGGTCTACAAAGACAGATGTTCCCTTTCTTCTTCTTCAAGTGCCGTCTTCGTTCCGAAGTTTGGCTATCATCAAAGCTATGCGTATTTTTGATGCTGCAGATCTAAACAGTTGGTAATTGGTGCAATTGTACCATTCTCTCAAGTTTTTCAACCATGAATGCCTTCTTCTTCCTATAGATCTCTTTCCCATTATCTTTCCCTGGATAATCAATTGCAGCAACTGGTATTTATCTCCCCTCATAACATGTCCCAAATATTGTAGTTTGCGCTTTTTAACAGTAAGTATCAGCTCTTTCTCTTTCCGCAAAACCTCCACATTTGTTACTTTCTCTGTCCAGGGTATTCTTAATATTCTACGATACATCCACAACTCAAATGCTTCTATCTTTTTGAATTAATTGCTATTTATAACTGGGAATAAGCCACAATTAAAGATAAAAATACGTTTATTGACGTTTCAATTTCCAATTCGGAAATCGTTCTCAAAATACAAACAGTAAATTATCTTTTCAATGTCCATGTTTCCATCCCGTAGAGGAGAACTGACATAACGTAACATCTCAAAAGGCGTATTTTAAGTTTTAGACTTAGATCTCTTCCGCAGAACACCTTTTTCAATTTAGTAAATGTGGCTCTAGCTTTCTCTATTCTGGTTCTGATTTCTTCAGAGCAATCATTATTTTCGTTGATAACAATTCCCAGGTAATTATATCTTCTTACACGTTCGATTCTTTGATCATGCACGGTTATGTCAGGGAAGTTTTGTGGTGATTTAGATATTAGCATTATTTTTGTTTTGCTTATGTTAAGTGATAATCTGTGTTCTTCACTGCATTCTACTATTTTGTCAATTAGTATTTGAAGATCTTCCCAAGTTTCTGCAATTAGTACCGTGTCATCGGCATATCTCAAGTTGTTTATTCGGATGCCATTTATCTTAATACCTATATTTTGATCCGTAAGTGCTGTGTCTTCGGAGTATAGATTGAATAAGGTCGGTGAGAGTATACAACCCTGTCTTACGCCTTTCTTGATCTCGAGTTCCTCCGTTGTCTCTTGCTCTATTCGGATATTTGCTTTCTGGTTATAGTAAATCTTAGAGATAATTCTAATGTCCCTTTTATCCAAGTTTTTTTCTACTAGCAGTTTTATTAAGTGATCGTGACGAACTTTATCTAATGTTCCCTTTATCTACAATTAAAAGATTTAGAGGTGAATAAAACAGTATATTTTCTTATTATATCTTTATATTCAAACATGTACAAAGATAAAACAAAATTAAAAAATTCAAATAATGTACTGTTGATAGTAGCTTAAATAAATTCTTATAATATACAATAATTCTTTACGTCCCTGAATCGCAAAGAAAAAATATTATTCCTCTTCTTCCTCTTCACCAGAATTTTCTTTATCGTCTTTATCTTCTTCGCTATAGATTTGTCCTTCGTCTTGTTCTTCATCGTCATCGCCAGCAACTTCTGCATTTTCGAGTTCAGCCCGTTCCATCTGTTTGACGAGTTCAGCTTCGTCGGTAGCTGTGACCACTTTGGGCTGAAAGTAAAATGAATCTTTTAGCATAAATTATTTTAAAGAATATGAGTACAATAAAGAAAAAGTGTTTATGACATCTGTTACAAAAGTGTGATAACATTCGTTCATAATAACTTTGCAACATTTATTCTTAGTCATCCAGTTCCTAGCTGGATCCACCTGGATATATTTTATATACATATTTGATACCTTAGGAAAAATCATGGACAAGCAAATATCTATTTTAATAAATGGCTAACATGGTAATTCTACACACATATTAAACATTAAAAAACTTACAGCCATTTGAATATTAAATACTCCACCCAATTCAGTGATTGTTGCTTTAACTTTCTCTATAGCATCACCTAAAACTTTTAAACCATCTTGTTTTTCAGGTGTAGATGTAGTCATAACTAAAAAAACAAGAAAAATGTATTAAATATTAGTAAATATTAATTTAACAATTAAAATATTAATTAATTTTAATATCTTTACATCTCATACACTAAAAAAAAGTAAAGTTCATGTAACCTTCTGGTTAAGGTCTAGTGTTAGGGTTTTCAGGTCACGCAAGCGCCCCTAACATGACTTAACGACTACTTTCATAGCTGGGACCGACAGCTTTACGTGCCCTCCGAAGCACAGTGGCAGCTCAGTTAATTTAGAAATTGAAAATTTTGTCGGTGACGAGATTTGAACCCGGGCCCTCCAGCTTGTTAAGCCAGTAACATAGCCACCGAGATACGGCTGCCACACATATCATACACTAAGTCTGTCACATCAAAAACTGTTGCAATTGTCTGCACAAAAAATTGTTGATTTGTTTCATGATCATACAATAGGATCACAACCATTTTCAAGTTATCTAGAATGAAGACTTGTTTTCTGCTCTTCCGACAGCAATTTTGTAATGAATTCCTCTTACATTCGTTACCAAATTCTCGATTAGAATTATGGTATACAGTAGAACCCAGATTAAACTTGCTTCAAGGGATCGGGCGGTGGCACGGATAATTGAAATGCACGGATAATCCGAACATTTTTTTAATGTATATGTACATTGTACATACATGCATATACTTCATCTAATTTAGATAACGACTTACGTCATGATCTACATCAGAGATCGAAGTTGACATAGTTGCCAAAGTATAAAAAAATCCTGAATCCATTTTAAATCAAATAGGTCACATAATTATTGCAACAATATTAGCATCTCTTTACAATGACTATTTAAATTCTTAAATGATATTTTTAAAATATAACACACTATTTTGTTCTAAAAAGAACAGATTTTATTAAATAGTTAAAAATATAATACAAGAGACATTCACTTTAAAATTCAAAATAATAAAGTACAAAAAGTGTCAACACCGCAACTGTCAAGTAAGTGTTACCAATTTATACCAAAATTTTACCTTCGTTCGATTACAGTTACAGTGTGTTCCGAACAAATGTTCTTGAGAAAAATGCTTTATAATGCATTTATACAAATTAAATGAAACATATTATTGTGTATTTCTTTAAGTTAACATTAATAGAAATTTTTAAATATTATTTCTACGCGTATATAATAAAATATGTCTAGTGGCTGTAATGCCAGTGTACTCGGTAAAGTGATTCTAAAAAAGAACACACCTACCGTCTAAATATTTCGTGTTGGTATCATGTGACTTCACAGGCTATGACGCCGATGACGTGCATCGTTATATAAATTAGATAAAGTGTACACTTCATCTAATTTAAATACCGTAGCACGTCATCGGCGTCATAGCCCGTGACGTCACAAGATACCAACACGAAATATTTAGGCGATAGGTGTGTTCTTTTTTAGAATCACTTTGCTGCGTACATTGGCATTACAGCGACTAGACATATTTTATTATATACGCGTAGAAATAATATTTAAAAATTTCTATTAATGTTAACTTAAAGAAACACACAATAATATGTTTCATTTAATGTGTATAAATGCATTATAAAGCGTTTTTATGAAGAACATTTGTTCGGAACACACTGTAACTGTAATTGAATGAAGGTGAAATTTTGGCATAAATTGGTAAAACTTATTTGACAGTTGAGGTGTTGACACCTTTTGCACTTTATTATTTTGAAGTTTAAAGTGAATACCTCTTGTTTTATATTTTTACCTATTTAATAAAATCTGTTCTTTTTAGAACAAAATTAGTGTGTTTTATTTCAAAAATGTCACATAAGAATTTAAATAGTCGTTGTAAAGAGATGGTAATACTTTTGCAATAATTATGTGATCTATTTGATTTAAAATGGAGTCAGGATTTTTTTATACTTTGGCAACTATGTCAATTTCGATCTCTGACGTGCATCGGTATGTAAATTAGATGAAGTATATATACCTATCATAAAAAGATAACAGAAAAAATCAAACTCATAAGTTCAAACTTATAACTTTATAACTTTTATAGTACATAAAATAATACATAACAGAACAACATAAACATAAACAAACACATCGGTGTTGCGCACTAGTGCAGTTAAGTAATTCAGCTATGATAGTGTCTTTATCATCATATTCCATGATACTTCTCTATTCCATCTTCCTCTAGCACCATTATTTTGTAAAAAGCTCTTTTGGTAATGGTGTCTTTCACTCCATTCCATACATTTGCCACTGTAAAAATTGCATCTTTTATGGTGAATGATTTCCAAAACTTCATCATCCAACAAGTTCTTCATAAATTCTTTTCAGTAGAGTACTTTCATTGTCTCAATAACACCTTGATGCATTGTTTTATCAGATGAACTTCATCCAACAAGTTCATCATAAATTATTTTCGGTAGAGTTGTTTCATTGTCTCAATAACACCTTGATCCATTGGTTAAGCAATGGATGTAATATTGGCTAGAAAAAAAAAGAACAAAGAAATTTCCATCGTCAGATCTTAGGGTCACCTCTTTTATTTCTCTTCTCTTTTGTTTAACACTGGTTTTAAAATAAAATCATGTTATAAGAATAATCAGAGTAGCAACTGATTTCTAGCTTCCAACTATATATGTAAAAATGTGCTATATCAAACACATTCGATGTAACATGCAGCGGCATATTATAAGCTACCTGTTTCCAGGGATTACCGAGCACTGACGCTGTGGATATTACATTATGCGCCTTTCCCACAGCATAGTAATTTGTGATGAAGTCATTCGGATAAAACACCAATTCAATGTTAAGTAGCACGAATAGCCCACAGCCCGGATAATCACCCCAGCCCCAGCCCACACACAGGTAATTGGGATTCTACTGTATTTACAAACTAAACTATTATGGAATTTGATCATTTTTAAGATTAAGTCTTCTGTAAACTTACCGTAGAGAGGAGGAGCTATAAGATTGATTTTAATGGGCAATTCTTCTGTTGAAAGAGCCAAGCCAGCTTTAAGGGCAGTTTTAACAGCATCAATACCTTCATAACCATAACAAGCACATTCAATATCAGCCCTGATTTTGACTGCTTGAGATGTTAGCTTTCTCTTAATGTTACTAAGCAAGACTTCTTTTGTTTTGTCATCTAAGTCACATTCTGCTAAAATACTGGGGTCTCTAAAAGATTTTAACAAAGTTGAATTACCAAGTTTAAGGACTTATAATGAAATTTTAACTCATATTTCATCATTTTTTTTTAAACCATAAATATATAAAATATTACATCCAATTACTTACAAAACAGCTTGTTTAAAGAAGTCGTATGCACTAGCTTTATTCTTCTTATATTTTTCTTCAAAATACCAAGCAGTCTTCTGATACAATTCTTCTAATTGTTCATCTGATTCATACTTTAGTAATTCTGCAACATGCCTTAAAATTGAATTAACAGCCTTGGCCTTTGCAAATCTCTCTGTACATTTTTCTACATCTTCAGCACTAACACGACGTTTTGAAAGATCTATATACCCCTTTTCCTTGTCTACTCTTATAACTACAACGGGTTCGGTTTTTCCTACACGAATCAATTTGTTAATTGATCTAATACGTCTTCTCGACAATTCAGATAACAGGATCATGCCTTCTATATTATTGTACTCTAGTAAATGGACGTAGGCTCCCATTTCGGCGATGGCCCTTACATTAACCATGACTACATCTTCCACTTCGGGATATTTTTCTTTATAAAATCGACACGACAGCGGCATTTTGGGATTGTGAAGAATCCAAGTATATGCTGAAATTTGAGGTTAGATTTACTTGATTAATTTGAACAGAAGTTAGTACTATAATTTAGCAAATACTTTACAGAACTATTATAATGCTCGTGCAGCAAAGAAAATAATTTTTATATTTAAACAAATACTGTTTACTTCTTTTCTTGACATACCTTCACGTGTCCAAAAACTAGGAGCTACAGCCTGTCAAAAAGAAATGTCTGTTTATCTGCACTAATCTGCAGTCAAAAAAATCTAAAAACATAGTTGCCACATTTATATATTATACACTTTGTCATGTTTATCCGTTTTACACAAATATTTTCTGGAAAATAATTAATAAATTATAAAGTAAATTCACTATTATTTGCTCCGACACCCACGTAAAACGATTGTTCTAATAAGAATGAATGGTAAATATTTTATAAATATTCTTTACGGTTTTGTAAAAATGATATAATAAAAAAGACTTTACTTAACAAAAAACTTTTAAAATATCAGTTTTAGTTATTACTATCACTCCTTTTTTTTTACACATTGTACCAAAACAATAATGTTATTTTCCAGGTACATTTTTTTGCGTTACATTTTTGTGTTGGCAAGTTATGCAAGTCCAAATAATAGAGAAGAAATTATTGTTGATTGTCATGTGTCATGTCATGTGTCTAATCAATGAAATGTCAATTAACTGTGATGTGACAGTTTCAGTCCCATTTTAATTACTATTTAGATTAATGATTATAACATTTTCCAATTTTTTAATTAATTATAGGCTTCGACAATGGCGTCTGTAAATAGCCAGAGCAACATAGAATCCTTAAAAAATGAAATAGAAAGGTTAACAAGAGAATTAGACCAAGCGAGTAGTGAAAAAGTTCAGTCAGCTCAGTATGGGTTAGTCTTATTAGAAGAAAAGAAAGAACTGCAACAAAAATGTGAAGAATTTGAAGCTCTATATGAGAATACCAAACATGAGTTAAACATTACTCAGGAGGCTTTAGCAAAGTTCCAAACTAGTCATAAAGTTACAACAAAAACTGGGATTGAGACTGAAGAATCACTCATAAATGAGTCGGTAGCTAGAGAATCGTCGTTAACGTTACAGATTTTAGAGTTAGAAAATGAGATTAAACAATGCAGACATGAGTTGGAAAGAGTCACTGCTGAAAGAGATCGAATGCTGCAAGAAAATAATGACATGGGTAATAATGCTTTAATATAAGTTATATAAAAGACTTCCTGTTATTGTATGTGTAAATGCCAGTTTATTAATCATATCACTTATCTTTATTTGAATTATTATTATTGGTGTCTAGAAACCATTATGTGTTTTATTTTGTATTAGGCAAAGACAAGGAGGATAGAAATATGGAATGCAAAAAAATCAGAACGGAACTACGAGAAGTCAAATTTAGAGAAAACCGTCTTATAGCTGATTATTCAGAACTGGAAGAAGAGAATATTGCTCTTCAAAAACAAGTTTCTGCCTTGAAAAGTTCTCAAGTTGAATTTGAGAGTTTGAAGCATGAAATAAGAAGGTTGCAAGAAGAGATGGATTTGTTGAATTTGCAGTTAGAAGAAATGACGAATTTAAAGAAAATTGCTGAGAAACATATGGAAGAAGCCCTTGAATCATTACAGGTATGTTGCATCATTGTTGCAAAGTTTGTATTAATATTGTAGTTTATTTGAAATTTAATAGTAAAAAGCAGTCTTTATAGTAGCATCTGATACTTTAAATAACTGTTTATTTAGGATTGTCTAAATACAAATTTCATCAACATTATCCAGAAACAATAAAATATATGTCTATAAATCAGAATATTATGAACATTTGAACACTATCTATAAACACTGTCCACCTTATAAACATCAATATATTGTACAAAATAGAAAAGTGCACAATCTCTAATATTCTTTTAAAAATAAGTTAATACTCTTACAAGCAACAGCAAGAAAAATATCTATATATTAATTTATAAGCCCTTGCAGGTAGCTTTGATCCATGTTGACTTTTTAAAAGCACTTTAATAAAATCAACCATGAACTGCATCAAAGTCAACTTCACGACTTGCATATTTTGGATCCATTACATTCATGGATTTATGATTAAATAACAGTGAGAACTCAAATAGTGAAAATTTACAGCTGTTTCTGATAAAATGGCATTTATATGGCTCCCATTATGGTCCTGTATTTTTCTATTTTTGCTGGATCTGAGTGAGAAATGTAAATTCTGTAGTGCCTTACACGTTGCCAATAATGCAAAATTAGGACTCTACTAGATGAAATTTGCCTTGAAGAGAACTTGAATTCAATTTTTGAATGGTAAATAAATAAAGAGTTTAAACATTAATAAAAACCACAAAATTGCATTTTCTAGACAAAGATGCTGTTAATTGTTTTTTTTTTCAATTAATAAACACTAACACTAAAATTGAAATATCCAATCTTTCCATTTTGATTGATTGGTTGAGGATTTGATTTATATAAATTCTCAAAAATGTTGTTTCAGACTGACTTCATTTTACTGGATCTTGCCATCTCAGGGATATGTCTCTCTGATTTTTTTTAAAAGCAAATAAATTATGATTTAAAGATAGGTATTTTGGAAAAACTAGACTTAGCTTCTTCTAAAGTTTTGATTGCCACTTGACGTAATTGATCAGAAGATAAAAATTAGAACATTTATAAATTTATTGTAAGGTCAATGAACAAGGTCATTTATATAAACTACAAAGACAGTTAGAGCCAAGACACCCTGTGTAATTCTTTTGATGATTTGACACTTATCTGAAAGATATTCCACATTACCTGTCTTCATAACAACAATCTGTCTCCTGTATGACAAAGAATTTAATGTTCCAAATAATCAAAAGTTTTTCTAAGACCAAGAATATACCCATTGAAACACCTGTTTCTTCTAATGAAGTTTTGATAGTCTCCAGAAAGTGATACACAGCAGTGTCCACACTTTCCCCTTATGATATATAAGGGGAAATATATCCCCTTATGATATATAAGGGGAAATATATCCCCTTATGATATATAAGGGGAAATATATCCCCTTATATATATATATATATATATATATATATATATATATATATATATATATATATATATATATATATATATACTGAGGTTTACTAATATGATTCTTTCTATCAAAAATTCTAATAATCTAGAGTAAACAGGAAGTTGAACTATTTTTAGAAAAGGGGAAATAAGACTAATGGGTCTATAATTATCTAATAGCATATGATAACCATTTTTTAGAGAGTCATAACATTTTTAATGATGCATAACAGAATGACCAACTTAAAAGCATAATATTTTAAGAGATTATTGGACACTTCATCAAAACCTGCTCAGAATATACTTTTCATGCTCTAAAGTATGATCTCAATTATTTTATAGTTTTTAAGTATATGGAGTAAAAATTAAAAGAAATATGACAAGAAATCTCTGAAAAGTGGAAACCTTAGGTTATATTTTTACTTGTTAGTACACTGTTAGTATACACACTTGTTAGTTTTGATTTATAGAAATTGTCTGCAATTTCTTTGCTTGTTACCTGCAACTTGCAATTATTCTATTTTGTTTTATCTTTGAATTCATTTATAATAGTGCAGACTGTTTTTATTTTATTATCACTATCCACATTGTATGTTATAAAAATATTTCTTTGTTGTTACCTATAGGTAACTGATTTAGATATATTTAAAACAATTTACAGTGTAGCTCAATTTCTGTTTCAAGAATAACCTTTTTCCTTCTAAATATCTTCTTCGTTTTCCATCTTTTTCAGCATATGCTTCTTTATTGAATATATGTTTAAAATGTTGTTTATTGGCATTCTTTTATTTAGTTATTTTAGAAGTGTAATTAAGGGTTAATAGCTGTCTACGAAGCTTTAGTGTGAGTTCACCTATTTCAGCTTGTATGCTATTTATCAGAGTTGTTCTGTACGCTCCAAGTATAATCCTTAGGGGGGTATTATGTAACACAAAGGTTTTAATGTTTTTATTAATTTTGGAACTAATTAATGGTCTACATATCATGAGCAGTGTTTTACCATCGCCACCCCAAGTTTTGTGAGCTAGGTACTTCAACAAGTTAAGCTCATTTCAACATGAAAGAACTCACTGCTGGATATGACTTTTCAAATTTAACTTTTAATGAAATATCTTTACTTGAAATTTTATTTTGTTTGTGTAGGAAAGATTTTGGTTTTCAAGTGTTGGATTTGGTTTATCCTCTATATGTCTTTTTTAACATATTATATATTTTGTTTTATTCGAGCAAAAACTAAAACCGGTACTTAGGGACCAATTTACTAGTATATTTAAGAGTTCTTGTAATGTTAACATTCTTGCCTTTGATGTAAATAATTAGGTTGTCATTTTTATTATATCGTTTATTGCTAATAAAAATAGAGTAGGACTGATAATCAATGCTTGTAGGATTGTTTTTGTCATTCTCTAAGATAGGATATAGCACCATTATTCATCTAATTAGATATCCAAATTTTTTTAGAATTTTCAATACACGGTGTTTCTATACTGTATCAAATGCTTTAATTATGTCAAAGTGAATTGCCATGCATTTTTGATTATTTTTAAAAGCTTCGTGAATACATTTACCTGGTCTAAAGCCAGTAATTTATCTTTATTTAGTTTAATAATAGAGATAACAATGGCATTTTTCCATATTGGGAAGTTTTTAATAAATTGTATTGATATGTCATCCGGATCTGGTGATGTCTTTTATGCTATTAAGTGCTTGTTGAAACTCCCCATAACTAAGGGGTGTATTGATAGGGTTGAGTTCGCCAGAAATTGTAATAGGTACTGCCTCCTCCTGTTATTAATTTGTAAGTTACGAACTTATTACTATAATTTTCACTGGATGGGAGTTTTTGATAGGTATCAGCTAGTTTATTTACTATATTTTGTGGGTCAGTTAGTAACATCCTTTTTTTCTAGACTCCTGTTATGTTTTTAACTTTTTTCCAAACCAATGATAAATTTGTGCTGCTATTAATGCTAGATATGTATTTCTGCTAGGATTCTTGTTTGTTTTTTTTTACGATTCTTTTTGCTTCATCTTTACATTTTTTGTACTCTATTAATAGATCAATATTTTTGTACTTTTTGTATCATTTTCAAATTATTTTACTGAATTTAGTAGCGGCCTCACATTGGCTTTTAGTTGTTCTACTTTAAAATTTCTCTAATGCACCATTGTCGAATCATATTCATATTTCAAGTTCATATCATATCATATTCGGTTCCAATTTTTTCTGACCATTGTTTTTTTTTTTGGAATTAATTTTTCTTTTCATGTTCACGAGGTTCTTGTTATTACAGTTTCATTTTCAGCATTCATTGTTTATAAATATTTTCTGACATCCAACCTTTTTCTCACTTTCTCCCTTTGTTATTCCTCTCAGTTTCTTATGTTGTTTTGTTTCAGCTTATGTTAAATCATTTTCAATGAAATACTGCATTCCCCTTGGTTTATTCTATGCTTTATAAAAATATGGCCATAGTAACAATATCATATTATTTCCTTCCCTTTTTTGTTTACTCATAAAATAGGGTTTACCCCACTCAGAAAATAAAAGATTTTTTATTTTCTGAACATCCTTTTCTATCACATTCATATTTAATTTATTTCTGATAAAGTTGTTGGCATTTTCAATTTCTTCATTATTCTTAAAATCATGTACTTTGATTACAATATTTTGTTTTATATTTTTCTTGAGTTCTAAATTTTCTTTTTTTAAATTACATATTTTATCTTGAAAATTCTTTTGATCGTTTCTGCTTCCTCAAGTCCTATTATCATTGTGGGGGAGACATTATGCAGTCAATATGTGGAATTTTTTGATACCTCTAAACGTCGATAGATTCCTTAGCAGATGTGGGGAAGATTATCATGCCTGAGGTTCATTGAAAGGTACCACAGTCGAATTTTTACTGGATTGTGAGACTAGTGCCCAATCCTACTCTGCAATTCCGGTCAGGGACCGGCAGTGGCACTGTGAGTTATTCAATACACTCAGAATTACCAAAGATAAAGTTTATTTTAATTAATACCTACGAAGTTCTCTGAATGCTTGATCAAACATTTTCTTATAGCTGAATTATAAACTTTTCTGAGACCATCTTTTAGTTAAATAAAAAAATTCATAGCAAATAATATATGTTTTTACTCTGTTAAATAAATGAATAAAACAGACAAAAATATACGAATAAGGTTTATGATAAAAGCACCCAAGGTTAAAGGATGGTCAATATTTTAATAGAATGGAATCTGATAATCCATATCCAATTTCGAGAAAGCTTTTAAATGGAGCAGGGAACTAACAGAAAAAATTGATTATTCTCTCCTATTTCAAATGAGGTCAAGGATAGAATTTCTATAGGGATAATAACAGGGTTGGAAATATATACAGGATGATTTTACATCAAAAAGAGTCAATGTTTCAAAGTCAAAGACATTTCTTTTACTATCCTCTTCTTCAGAACAAAAATGTGTATCTCCTAGTAATAAATTTTTAAAAAGAAATAAAAAACTTAAAAATGACGATGTTAATATATTGGATAATGGATAATTCGAACATTTTTATATAA